CTGAACTGTACTCAATTGCACACAAATTTAAGGTTTAGATGACATTATCAATTGCAATCAACAAAACTTAGCATTGAAGATTTTTGAACTCGGGTAAAAATCCAATAACTGTGCTAAAGCCCCACCCTCAGTAATTTCAGATTGACAGTAGATTTATTTGTATACGAGTATATAGACATGGAAGCAGAAATTAAAAAAGAAAAATATTTAAGCTATATATGATATAAATCAAGATCTTGGCCAACATCTATAAAAAGAAGTCGTAAAAAAACTATTGGACAATTTGCAACAAAGGAAGAACTTGAACCGTGAACTAGATAGGAAAGAAATTGGAGGCATATACGACTTTAATTTAGATTTATTTCTGACTTTACATCAGAACCGTTCTTGAAAGCACATACTTACAAAAAAACATCAAGCGCTAAAAAATATTCTCACAAAAGAAAAGTAAAGGGCATTTATCAATTAAAAACAACGATTAAGCAATATTTTCTTATTTTTAATTTGTGGTTTTGCTTTATGTTATCATGTTTTCTTAGTTAAGTTGAGGTTAAGCTAAATTACAGACATTTGTTTACATTGACAACAGATTTTGTTACTGCACGTTTCTTAGAAATGGCGACAGTGAAGACAAGCGGCGATGTATAAGCATCGTGTTTCCGGTACAGGTATTAAAGACGTTAATACAGACCATTATGCACATCTTAGTGCCATTATCGCATAATGACGAGCAGCAACCAAATATTCAGATCTTAATGTAAGTCAACATGAAGATAAGAGCTTGATGATCTTCAAACTTTAAAATAAAAGTAAGTATTATAAATTGTTACGATCCAAATAGGAATCAGAAATAATAACCAGTAATTTTTTTTAAAACAATAACAAAATTTATTCTTAAAAACTACAAATGAAATCAGTATGTTACAACATACAAAATCGACAAAAAATGAAATAACTGAAATTGAAATTATGAAGAACAGTTCTTAATTAACGTTCCGGTTCCTAATGATTTATTAAATGTCCGAGTGTGTACATGTATTTGCTCACTCAGTTTAAGAAAAATGGCAGTGTATCCCCAAATAGCTAATTCTATTTTATTAACCTTTGAATTTAATATAAACGAAAGATTCTTTGTTGGACATAAAACATAAGTGAATTTATGGTTATCTTACGATAATCAATTCATGTATATAAGGCTATGTCGTTAAATTGTTTCAAACATCTTGTTAAATATGAATGAAATTACAGTCGACTCTTGTTATCTCGAACTCATCGGGACCGTCCAAAAAATCGAGATAACGAAATGTCGAGATAAACTTATAAGAATAAGGCAGAATCTAATTTTTACAAAAGACATGTTTACAGCTTATGTCAAATAAACTATGATATCCCCATGTCTTGTTTTCATAAGCCTAGTAAATATTTAAAGAAGTAACATTAGCGGAAAAACGGGTGTCTTTGATAAAAAAAACACATAGTGAGGTTTACTCAGTAATACACCAATATAATGAAAACATTGATTTTAGGGTGGTTGATCCGGATATCCTCCCAGGTTAGTTATCGGGTCTTTCTCGAGATTGTTCGACCACTGATTGATTTGTTGATGTGAAACAATATTGCTCCGATGGCTTTTCTATACTTTCATTATTTCATTTTACATTTAAAGTCATAATGCATTGAAACAGTGTTCGAATATTAAGAAAGTAAAATTCACTCATTTTAGACTTAAGTCAATCAACACGCTAATAAGATTAACTTTAAAAATAACAGATCAACTTGTTACAAACATGATCATCATGATGCCACGCACTTTTGAGCAATTTACGTCTGGTTTGTGTTTTTCACACGTCTGAAGGGAACAGACGAAATATAAAACTACTAGTCGAGATAAACAAATGATAATAGTGTGAAAATAACTTTTAGGACTAAAATTTTACATCGATATACTGAAAATATCGAAATAAAGATATCGAGATAAAAAAAATATTTCCAATATAGATAAAGAAGGCAGAAAATCGGGACTTTCAAAATTTCATCGAGATAACGAAATATCGAGAAAAGCGATGTCGAGATAACAATAGTTGACTGTATTAAGTGTATAGGCATATTGTAAAATATGTTTAAAAAACATCTCAACACATATGAATACTTTTTTTCAATACTGTCGTTCTGTGTTTGCCATCTGAATTTTTTTCTTAATCATCCCGAGTGTTGAGCATATAGTCGACGCTTTGTCTGTCCGTCCGTTCGTTTTTGTTGTCCGGGACATAACTCTGTAAAAACAAGAGAAATGAACATGAAACTTTGTAGGTAAAAAGATCTCATTGTAAAGATGTGCAATGCACAAAAACCGTAACTCTGTCATGCCTAATTTGGAGTTATTGCCCTTTGTTATTTTTTTACACTTTGAACTTTATCCAGGTCATAACTCTAAAACTATAAGAATAAGAGAATAAGTGCAGTGCAAAAACCATATCTCTGCATTGCCTCATTTTTGTTCATTTTAACATTTTGAACCTTGTCCGGGAGATTACTCTGAAACAAAAAGAGATATCAACACTTTGATCTTGTCCGGGAGATTACTCTGAAACTAGAAGAGATATCAACATAAAAATTAATAGGTAGATACATTTTATTAGATAGAAGTGCAATGCAAAAAAGACCATAACCCTGCCTTGCCTCATTTTGGAGTTTTTGCCCGACCCATTTTTTACACTTTGAACATTGTCCAGGACATAGTTCTTAAAGTATAATTGATATGAACAAGAAACTTTGTAGGCCTTGTCTAATTTTGGAGCTATTGCCCTTTGCTCATATTTACATTTTGATTTTTTTCCGGGACTAAACTCTGACACTATAACAGATATAAACAAGAAACGTTTTAGAAAGATAGATAGTAAAGGTATTGGGTAGATAAGCAGTGCAAAGAACAGTAACTTTGTCTCGCCTAAGTTTGAAATAATTGCACTTTGAACTTTGTCCAGGACATAACTCTGAAACTACAACAGGTATACTTTTCTGTGTCCAAAACCTATTCGGGGAAAAACACCCGATTCAACCGATTTCTGTTTTATTTTTCCTAGTATTGTTCTCTCGGTTTTAGTATTGTTGCTTTCTCTCGGTTTTAGTATTGTTGCTGTCCTCTTTTATTTTGATTACCAATACTTGCCTTCGTTCTTACTCCTTTTCGTTTTGTTCTTCTTTAAGCCTCATAGTCTCATGTTTTACTTATAAGTATATATGTGTAAGAAAACATCATACCTGTGATTTTCTTATTCAAACTATGTTGGCAATAATGCATGAACTTAACAGTAAATTAACGCTAACTGCATCATAACGAGAATTTCAGGTGTAGTGTGATTGATTTATAGATCGATGGATACCAGGTACTTGTCTAGTATTTAAGGAAGGCTAAATAAGACACGAATTTGAACAAACACAACTATAATTGATTATGCTCATATGACATATGACATATCATTTTACGAGGTATGTTCAAAAAATTCGTGGACTTTTGCTGTCATTTTTTTGCTTGGTTAATAAAAACGAAATTGGCTGATATGAATTGAACGAGTGTCTTTATTTCTTAAAGTAAAATTTGCTTTTATCTTTAACTTTTATATCCGTTGGGAACTATGTGCACTTTAATAACCATGACAACGCAACATCGGCGCACGCCAAACTTTTCCTAAACTTATTATTATTTATTATACAGAAATGTTGAAATAAATTGAACGGTTATTTTATCAGTTAAAATGCAGGTAAACATCTGTTAACATTAAATGACACAAATCTGAAATTCAATGTCATTTGGACGTTGAATGGCTACACAAACAAGTTTTAAGCAGCAGTAGTTAGTAGTGTTAATGAAACCCATTTAAAAAAATAGAAATTCGCACTTTTGGAAAGAAAATATTTAATTTACGTTTGATGTTCACAAATTTCAAATACCTTTTTTATTTTCCAAAAAGGATTTCCAATTTGAAAATAATTCTTTTTAAACATCATTACTTCTGGCTTATTGGTGATTTTATTTAATCTAAATTTAGTGTCCAAAAAATAATGATGTCGTTTGATTTCGTGAAAAGTTCGCTTTTAAAAATTACAAAAATTTCTATAAATGAAAAATAAGCAGTAACTTGTGTATAACTTAGAAAGCCTGGAGCTTGGGCTTGAATAAAATTCTTTTTTGTTTCATGAAGCGCATAGGAAGTAATTATGGTTTAATTTTTCTACACCTGAGCGCGTAAATATATTTGTAGTATATTTCAGTTTTGTATTGTATCGTAAGTACAATAAACACAATTAAAATCAATTTTTCTACTAAGAGGTCTTTTGGTTTTACAATTTCGCTTTTTCTTTTTTGTTTCATGAAACTCTACGAAAGTATTTGCGGGCTATTTCTAGTACACCTAAGCGCATATATATATTTTGTGTATTGTGTATAATGATTATAAGTTTTGTATTTCAGACCAATAAATAACCCGTATTTGTATGCACAATATACGCAATTTTAATTATTGGTTTCTACCAAGAGGTATTTAGGTTTTCAAATTTCGTTATCTTTCGTCAAATTCTCATCATCGATATTATGGGTTACCGACGATGAGAATCGTTTTAATACAAAAAATATGCATATTTCATTTCTCATAATAACCATTGTATTATGATCATTCGTTTACTACTTTTACTACTTCAAAACCTTTTGTCGTTGAAACGTCTTTTATCGATTATTTTGATATAAATACACATATTGTCTTTAAAATTAGCATTCAAGCGTTTCTGAAACAGAACGAAATTGTAATATATTTTTGTATCAAAGACATTGTGTTTCGGTATATGTTCTCAAAAAGATTTACCTGTAACATGTTTTTGTTATCAAATCAATTTCAAATACTTATTTATTCATCTTTGGCAGATTTTCAAGGGAAAAAAGTGATGAAATAAAGGGAAATACTTAAGCAAAAACAAAAACACACAGATAATGAAAAATGAAATGATTAAAGATTGAAGACTCTTATTTTATACGTTTTTATTAAAACAGAAACCATTCTATAAAAAAATAAAACTTAAAAAATAAAAACGAAAAACAAAAAACAACAACATGCAAACCAAAACTTAAAAACAACATTCATTAACGATGGTAAAAAATATAAAAAACAAGCATATGATACATCATTTTCTTTGCTAGGGGTTTACATCGCACCTATACAGTAAAGGTCATTTGGTGACTTTCCAGCTTCACTGGTGAGAGAAGGCCTCAGGTGCCCTAAACAGCCAAGAAAAAGTTAAAACATCAACTAAGAAATAACAATCAAATCTATACAGAATGTGACAAACAAAAAAAACAATAACAATAAAACATAAGTTTGAAAAGCAACAAATTATAAAAACGCGCTAACATGAACAAATAAAGAAAACAAATGATTTAATGGGATAATTTGACGAATTCTCCGATATGTCTTTTACTACGTATTTCACTTTCATTTTTGCTTTTATTATACACTTCTATAAGTCATTTGATCACCTTTATAGTAATCTATTTTATTCTTGACCAATTATTTCCATTCCGTCGCCCCTTTTATATTATAATATGTGACTGGCATGTTCTAATATGCACTTTGGGTGATGTAATACATGTGACCTTATCTGTATATTGTCAAAGGTCAAAGCCGTATTACTTAACAAGATATGTTTTCTAAATGATATCTCAAAAGATTATCAAGTGCAAAAACGAAACTACTTGACGTATCTTATCAGAAATTATCATTTAGTAAAATTTCGTGGCTTTTTTTAATGTCAACTGAGGTGTTATATAAGATACCTGCTGTGACTCGGTCAAAACGTATATATGTACTATATAGTGCAATGATAAATGGCTTATTCAAATACTGTTCTTTTTATATAGAATTACATAAGTTGAAAATATGCTCATCTTTTAGTTGGGTACTTTCATCGCAGAAATTAATTAAAATGTACTAAATTGAGTATATCTAAATTGTATCAAAGAATCGCATGTTTATGTAAATGTTTAAACAATGTGAGAAAAGCTGCAGTTCTTATTAAGGTTACATTGGAACTATCTTAACAAAATGCCATATTTTGACGACCCTTTATTTTTCAATGTATGCCCTCCTATGGTGTGTAAAGTTTAAAACGTAACATTTCTTCTTTGCTTTATTTTAAATAAAATTTTTAAAAATTATTGTATTTTTTGAAATATTTACATACATTTTTTTTCTGATCAAAACAATGCCAAGAGATGCTAGAAATCTGTTTTCTGCATTGCTATGTTTGACAAGCTGTTAAATATCAAATATCCATTAAGTTAGCATTGAGATTTAATTCAAACGAAGCTTCTACCTAACCGTTTTTCACCTTTTTAAGTAACAGAATCTTATAAAAGGAAAAATTATTAGTTCAGAATAATTTAAGTAGGAGTGAGTGTAGCGAATTCATTAAGACGTTTTATTGTTCGTAGGGGCATCTAACTAACTTACTACACGACGTTTAAATGAATTGTTAAATAAACGCTGATAAGAATAATTAATGAAAAATATACATTGAAAAATTTCAGGTTTGTGCATTTTCGTTGGACAACAAATACGGACAAAAAGTATTCCTTATTTGCCATCCTTTAAAAGTAAACAGTATGAATCAATTGGTTGAAAGGTATATTGACACGTTGACTAACAAAATCGAACCAAAGGCAAAACAAACAAATAAATACAAACCGTAATATGCCAAAACCTGTACTAATTTTCCTTATTAAAACACACGGATAAAAAGTTCAGTTGCAAACTAAATTTGCTTGAAACATTATAATTTGACATGTCTATTCTTTTAAATGTATCATTTGAAAATGGTGGAGATCTTTCCGTTGATAGTTGACAGATTTTTTAAGTTTGGCTCGCTGAAGATCTCGTTCAAGCATATCACTGTTATCCTTCTGCTCACGATCAACATGATCCAGTTTTTCTCGAAGCCTTCCAAGCTCTGTACTTGTACGAACATTCTTTCTTATGTAGTCCTGGATAACAAGCATTACTGCGTCAAACTTTTCCCGAAGATCACGAAGCTGAAAATATTAAAGATATTGTAAAGTAAGACATGCTGACGATAGAAGAGATAGCTTTCCTAAGTAAATTATTTTGTAAGACATCGATGTTGTTGTTGTCGTTGTGTTGTTTGTTGTTTTGTTGGGTTTTCTTTTCTTTTCTTTTTTGTTTCTTTTTTTTCGTTAAGAAACAGGAAAAAGGTATGTAAGGTTGATCGTTTTTTTTCACAAACATCTATGAGTTGCACTTTCCTGCCATCAATATTGTCTAGATAAGTGATAAATAAGCAAATTAAATAATATGCTAATGTATTTCTATCTGTAATTACTAACGTACAACAAACATAATTAACAATTCCACGTAAAGATCCTTAAAAAATGCTAATGAATAATAAAGATTGATTAAAACCCAACTATTGACATCGAAAGCGACTCGCAAGAACATTGAGTTTGATACACATAACTTATATAAAATGAGGCATGATTTGTAACGTTGATCGTTTGAGAAATATGTTTTAAAAAATAAGTCTTTATATGTTTTATAACCGGCGAACACTTCGTACTAAAAATAGAAACCAACAATGAAACTGGCTGATGAACAAACATTAGTTAACAAATTTCCAATTTTTTTTGGAAACAAATTTGACATAACATAACAATTGATGTTTACCATCGGTTTTTCAGTTGATTTATTATTGTTTGCTTCTCATAGACTTTATCTTATAACTGCTTGATATTATCTTAAGATTTACAAATCTGTTTTGTTTTGCTTTTGACATTTTGTTTATTTCCTACATTTCCTATCAAAATAATTTTCGCTATGTGTATATTTTGCTGTCTTATCGACAAAATGTTCTTACCTCCTGATCCTGGCATAATGACTCTTTTTCCATTGCTGTGATTCTGAAATACAAATGCAATCATTAATACTTGTAATAATAATAATTTTTGAAACCTTGACAGTTATAAATTATAAATATGCAAACTGATCCACAAAGGTTTTGTAAAATAAATCCTGATATTTAAAGTACCATATAGTTTCGTGCTTAAAGACAGTACATACATTTATAATAATCAGTTCATTAATTTTTTAAAATCTATTTTCATGTATGTCACCACTCTTCTATTCATTAGTTCTATAAAATAATATTTCTGGGCTTAGGAAAGTTTCATTATGTAAGTTGAAGATATGTGGTTTACCTCTCAATACATATAGACCTTTTTGTCGTATGTATTTGACATCTAAAAACATACAACAAACTACAACGCATATCTGATAATCATGTTGTCTTTGAATACAATTTATAGATTATTATTCTTCTTCTTCGGTTACAATATCGCCAAAGATATAAAGATTAAAATGTATATCGTAGAATACACATAAATATACATAACACACAATACATCAATATATCTTCATACTTTTCAGAATATTGTCGTTCTGTATCTGCCATCTGAATTTCTAGCCTGGTTCTCTCGGTTCTTGCATTATTACTGTCTTCCTTCAGCTCGATAATTGTCTCTTGCCTACGTTCTAACTCCTGTTCTGTTCTTTCCTGTCGTTCCCTAAGCCTCACATTCTCCTGTTCAGCCTGTACGTAATGCGTTAAATGACTGAATGTACAATTTGATTGGAAAAAAGAATGATCACAGAGAAAGCTGATGTTGCATATCAACTGATCTAGAAATGTTTAAAATCACTTTAGCTTTGAAATAGTAATCAAACCTGTGAATGATAACAATAAAGGCGTCTTTACATCCCCAAACGTGTTGGTAGGTTAAGATAATAATGCAACACAAATGAATTTAATAACATTAAAGGGAAAGGCAATGTTAGAATAGAAATTTGATATCAGAAAAAAATTACTATAAATAGTAAAACTGCAAATGTTTTGCGTTCAAATAATGATATTAAAACGTTTGATAACAAAAATTTAATCGCTTAAACACCGATTTCTACAAATCTGTAGGCGCGGCCATGTTTGTGTTTTGGCGGTATAAAAACAGGTGCACGTGATGTCATTAACCCAGATATTTAGATTTATAATCAACAATTGTCGAATCGTAGCGAAAGATAAATATATTATAAAGTATTAACCAGACGAATTAATCTTAAACATAATGTGAGGAGAAGACGTTTTTTGGTCCACAATGCATAAAAATATCCAAGGAAATATAGAACCAATAAACAATCAACTGCCTACCGAGCACTGATCGCACCACTTTAGACCGCCGAGTGATATCCGTTACTCCAAATTTAACTAAACACTCTCACACAGATTTAATAAATACATATGTTATTATTTAACAAAGTCTCACAATCAATTAATGCAGTTAAATAAACAAATGCAGCTGAATGGCGCTAATAATCATTATTATAATAAAAACCCTGCTAAAAAATCTTACATTAAAACATAAGAGACTCTTGTCAACGTTGCTGCGAGGTATTAATTTACATCTGGAACGTTCAATTGTAATCGCTGGTATGTAATAGAAAGAGCATCGAAACACGAGGCTATCTGATTTTTACGAGGGGGGCGTAGCCCCTGAGTTTTAATCAGATTGCCGAGTGTTTTGATGTTCTTTCTCTTTTGTATCATAGTCAAACATAAAAACACGTTCCATGATGTCACAATATGAAACTCCAGGAAAAAAGGAACCAATGAACGAGCATCTGAATATGATATTTCTATCGCTTTCCCTTTCCCCGTCGTCACAATATGTAAACCCTTTACAAATGAACCAATCAATGGGCATGCTCTGCAGTGTGGGTTACTAATACCTGCACTCCAGTTAACGCACTGTGCATGTATTTGTATACTATTTTCAACAGAAAGGTCCTCAAACTATGATACAATTAAAAGTACTACTGTTTAATATATTTTGTTCATTGTATTTGATGATAGCATGACAATGGTTATGCATACAATATATATATTACTGGGTTTAGATAAGTTTGTACGCAAAAAAAAGATACATGTCCGGCGACGTACCCGACACACACAAAGGACAGCTTGTCTTGCGAAATAAGTTCAAAATAAAAGGATTTAACATCGATTGGATGAGCTTCTCCGTCATTTTAATTAGAATATTAAATTTAATTAACCAAATAAATTAAACTTGAAAAAGAATAAGCAGTCTTTGCCTAAATCATGTGGTCAGGGATCATTTGCAAGCTTGATCATCCGGGAAATGTTAATAAATGTTGATGCGTATTTAATTAATTAATTAAAGCATTCCAGTTCAATACGATGTTTTCATACACTTTTTTATTATAATATATAAAGAAAAACTTGAATTTGAGATACTGATATTTTTTAAGGTAACAACCATCCATTATCGGAGAAACGATTCAATTTTACAAAGCATCCATATTATGTCCAAAACATGCGATCATTTCAATGTCGGTATCTACATATAATACTTCTAATTTATACTTTGGAGGCAACGCATTTTTGTAAGAAATTCCTTTTTGTAAACTCATTCAATACATGCATGTATGTGAATATAATGTACGTAATAAGAATAATAAGTTGGTCATCAAGATATAGTTCGGTTGTACCAGCGTGTTCATCTACTGTAATTGGGAGTAATACGTCATAATCTCGGTCTCGTCTGTCTCGCGAGAGTAAAAGAACACAAAAATTGCGGCGCCTATGAACTTATTTCTTAAGGGAAACACGAAAGTGTCACATTGATGGTTCCCTATTATCCGCCGTATAAACACACCAGGCTTAAGCTAATCGGGCCTGCAACTTTTCCATTTATGTCGTTCAAGCGTTCTTTAGGGATGCCATTTTTCTCTATTTTCTTATGATAAAAAGTTTATTTGCAGGACAAACAATATAATCTGCAAAAGAAATATTAAAAGATAAATCTAGATAGACCATTTAAAACAACCAAGAAAAGATTATTGCACCTATATTTCTTACTTACTTCCCTTAGACTTCTCTCTCTTACTGTCAACTCATTTTGAATCTTTTGACAATCAATTCTTCTATTAATTTTTTCCTGCTCAAGTTCTCGCCTTGACGTTGCTATCTCTTCCCTTAAGGTCTGAATTCTTTCAGCATCTGACTCAGCTCTCTGTCTCTAAATAAAAACAAGAAAGCAGTTTTAAATGTCTTGCATTCCTGAAGATGAAACTGTTACAATTATTTCCATAACAAAATAATTGCAAAATAAATCCACTATGTCATTATCTTGTTTACATGATATTTATTTATTTCATGGTGGTATGGTGTTTCTGATATCTTATTAAAAACATTATTTTGCATTATATTTAGAAAGTAATAGACGTATGGATCATCCAGTTGGTGGTCATGTGATACGTATCATTGTAAGACTCTGTGTTGACTGGTATACGATATACTTAAACAATTGTTTTAACGCTTGTGTGCTTTTTAAAAAAAAAACAACATATTATTCTGATCTTTTAAGCGAAATATTATCTGCCCGTTAAATGAAATCTTATGCTATAATGAATCTTATTTCGTAACATTACTCCATGCCAATAATTTAGTGTTGCGAAACAGCTATGACAATTTCACGTTTGATAGAAACAATATGTATCTACTAAAGTTAGCATTCTATGATCTTTATTTAAAGCAAATTTAAGTTGTTTTTATTGTTCTTTTTTTAGTTTTGTTTTTTGAAAAAAAACGAAACAACAATATTTTTGTGTCAACAAATTATTTATAGAATGAATAAATGTATAAATAAATGTTTATATATATTTATTCCATCTAAGTTTATTAGTTAAAAAAAGAAAACAAATAACAGCAATGCAATTTGACGTTTACAGAACGCAGTCTTCGACATAACCCTGTCAAACACGTGTAAAACAAGTTATAACAATCAAACCAACAACCGCTTGGTTGAGAGACATTTATCCTTACCACTGGATAAAACATTTATTCTTAATACTAGATAATACATATACATTTACCATTAGATAATACATGTATCATTACCACTATATAATACATATACCCTTACCACTAGAAAATATACATATTCTTTCCACTACATAATACATTTACCCTTATCATACCGTTACCTCTAGATAATAAATATACATTTACCACTATATAATATACATTATTCTTCTCACTAGATAATGCGTGTACCCTTATCACTAGATAAAACACATACCCTAACTACAGGATCATACTTTTTTTAACTTTGTTTTTATTATGCTCCCTCTACACATAATAAATGAAACATTATATTGCTAGGCAAGTACCTGATTACTGTCCGCTTCTTGTAGTTGTGTTTCAAGAGTCATTATTCTTCTCTCAAGCGTCTGTACGTTGGACTCAAGACCGGCAATGGTGTTTCTAAAATCTTGTTCGGACCTTCGCCTCCGTTCCTGTTCCTGAAAACAAAGCATGTATTTAAGGTCATATGCCATTTAGGCTTGTCAAATATGTACATCATCATAATTTGAATAAATTAGTGTGGTGAGAAGAAGATTGACAAAAGTATTAAGTACATTTGCTTCAATTAACCATTTCAATAAATACTATTTTTAATTAAGGGCTATCGTTTATCAAAAAGGAAAATTCATTGCAAAGGCAGTGTAAGTACAATGTAGCAGATGAAATGCCCTTCAAAATATAGAGTGGTTCTAGTTTTGTAATAACCTAATAAAGTGTTACCTAATTCGGACCGCATGTTCAATAATTTCCCAAGTGGTATAATCACATGTAAAATACTGTTAGCGAGATAATCTATTATGTAAAACAGTTATTTTCTTACGTTTTGAATGGTTTTATTGGGGAGGCTATGCCGACCCAATGTTAATAACTGTTCGTCAAATCTTACTGCCGCGGTAATCAGGTCAAAAAATAGTACCTTGATCTTTTCTAAGCTGACTCATCAGTCATCACAGACATTTACAATATGAAAATATTTTCATTCTTTAATTTCATATCTGCAATTTGTAAAGATAATAATTCTCTGAAAAATTCTTGATTTTTGTTTAAATCACTACTCCGTGACGTCATACTGCCGCGGTAATCAGGTTTGGCATAGGTACGTACGTCTGTAATAAATAGTTCTGGTATGAAAACCCTTCAAAATAATAACTTTATCAATATTTTTTTAACAAAAAGCATAAATGAAAATTTGTAAGTAAATGCTTTAATTCAGTGGCAAATATTCTTTATTATTCTTGATAACAATTTTCCAATTACTACGCAGCGACCAACTGTTTATGACGGGTCATTAACTAGAACGTTCCAACACCGTATTCTCCATTGTGTACACCGGTCTTACTGACGATATTTGAGACCGGTGTATATACAATGCCGTATTCTCAATATCATGCATGTTCTTTTGTTGTTATAAACCATTAAAAGTCCTTAATATTTTTTAAAGACAAATAATTGTAAACTGTCGCTTACATCAGAGACATGGATCATGCTTGCGTGATAACTAAGGAAAACTAACTTATTAGTACACCCGAGGAGGCTGTACGCGGAAAACGGTCATAAACCGCTGTATCATAGCTGTTAGTAAATATTTTGCATACATTTAACTAAAAATTCACTGATGGTGATGAGCATATAGTTTGAAACATTATATTCTTGAACCATTATCGCCGAAAAAAAACTATTTAACTACAAAACCCCTATAAGGACCTTCCGACAAAATTCCAGCACAATATTACATTTTACATTAGCAAAATAAAAAAAGCAATACTTATATTTTCATCTTACATAATTCATTAATCAAACTTTTAACATAAAAGTATATTTGGCAATTGACAGATCCCTACTCTGATCTTTTATTTGTATAGGAATAAATTTAAACATGTGCTCTTTTGTTTAGGAATATTTTGTAGTGAAAGTCTTATATATTCACTGATCTCATAATTAGAATTAGACAGGTCAGGGATTTATACAACCAGTTGTTTACTTAACTATGCTCATTTTAATCCCAATAGAAACATTCAAATATTTGGGGTAAAAAACATGACCAAAGTACCTAGTAGTCGTTTACCCGGTGGTGATCCCATTAAACTGATTATAGATTCGAATTGATTAGAAAACACAAATAGAAACATGTGTTTCCGTACAACAAAAATCGGAAGTAAAGTGAACAGTTAATTGACAGAAATATGTGGTCAAATATGTTTTAACAAAGAAATAATTATTTCAGAGAAAGACGCAAAGATCAGTATGACCCCGTATTGTGTAATTAGAAAGTTTATTCAATTCTAGGGCATACATCATAATTTGATAGTCCATGTGTAATAAAATTCAAATTTTCAATACAGATTATGAGATACATAAAAAATATTAAAGAATAAGAAGCATTAATTAAAAAAAAAAAAAAAAAAAACCGCATACATATACAAATTACTTACAGTCGAGCATCGGGAAGTCATTAACATATCTTACGAAACTTTAATTTGAAAACGATATTTGCGCGCGCTGAAGTGATTAATGTTTATTTGAAAAATAAAAAAAAAAAGAACTTTTATGTTTGTGTTCTAAAAATAATCGGCGGCATAAGAGGAATTTCTTATTCATTTTACAACACTTGAAAAATTACTACAGAAAATGTGTTGTTGTTTTTTTGTTTTGTTTTCAACAAAAGTGAGTGTATTTTAAGTTTATTTATACTCGGCGCCGGAATAACCATATGTCCGAGATTATAGCATCTGGGACGTCTTTTTCAAGCAGATTCTTCCTGGAAGCCCATTCTTCGTTCTTTGGTGGTAAAGGAGACGACAATACCGTCAAGGCATCAACTTTCTGACTGACGACAACAAAAACGGCATCTATTAGCGCCAAACCTCCAGAGTAAGTCACGACAGGTCAACCAATCACCTCTGGTACTTATGATGACTTGACTATGTCCTTCCGTGTGCCTTCTCCGCGACGTGCACGCCTCTGGAGGAAATTGGAGAAGTTTCAACAAAAACTTCCAAAACACGCCATTTATAACATCATTCATAGCACTGACGGCTTCGATGTTCTCATCTATTTGCGGGAAATGGTCGACAGGGAAAACCCTACGTAATAACCGCACACCCTGTTAACAACAGATTTTCCGCAGTATATATATTCAAGCTAGTGAGGTTTAAAAATACACAAGCTATCGATTAACTACCATTAGTTGGTTGAGTGTTGGCGGTAAAAAAGAAGATATAACTTCCTGATCAATTTTCACTTAGGTTGATTCAGTTTTGAATAAGCTTTGCAGATATGTATTTTTTCAAGAAATATTTAGCTTTAATATTATCCGACGCCGTCAGTAATGAAATGGGAATAATTTTCTGAAACGTGATTTTATTTGAGATTTGCTTCTGGAGAAGACAACCTTCTGTCCGTAGAGCAAGAATATTAATACTCATCACAAGACAGTATCTTATTGATCTCAATTATGGTACATCTAAACGTGTATAATTTTTATGTTCAATAAAAATGTTGCATCACTTGCAGTTGTTATTATCATTCAATAATATTAAAATGACATAAAGTATTTATGATGAACAGTCCTAAATATTTTGACAAAGGAACTTGAAATTCTATCAAATAATCAATATTAGTTATAATATCCAAATATACCCCCTATATACTATAAAAAAATTTTTATAGTATATAGGGGGTATATTTGGATATTATAATTAATATTGGTTATTTGATAGAATTTCAAGTTCCTGTGTTTGTGTTTTTTTATAGTATATAGGGGGTATATTTGGATATTATAATTAATATTGGTTATTTGATAGAATTTCAAGTTCCTGTGATTTTGATAAGGAACCGTCAGTTGTAAAATGTTATTGTTATCTGATAATGAACAGTCGTCATACTTGCTGGTATGTCATTTATTATTGACAGTTTAGGTTTTTCAAAATTTGTATGATTAACAGTCCGAATGTAGACCTCAATGAAATGTTCTGGAATATTAACAAAATGAATAGTCAACCACATTAACCATATATATGAATGTTTGAACACAACAGTAAGGATAAATAGCGCAATGTGCATATCTTTTTATTTTGGTAGCATATTTTAAGCAAAAAGAAAAGACACTATAAGTCTGAAACATTCTCTCATAGCCTCCCCATCAGTACATTCAGTGCTTTGATATATTATTTGAATGTAGTTTTCATGTATGTTGTCTTCATATGATAAAACATTATACGTAATTAAATACTAATTTTGTAAAACTTTCGATATCTTGATTTGTTAATGTAAAATCATATTAGATAAACCTGTTGTAAAATTATCAAAATCATAATTTATTAATCTGCTTAATAGTTGTTAATAAAGGAAAAGGTCTCACAAGATGCGCTTTGACGCATTCTTATTTATAAATATAATTCAGGTTATGTGATTTTAATTTCAATGTACCAATCGTATCAGTTATTTGCGATAACAGTAAAAGAAATTGCGATCAAAATTATTTATAAACACTTTACCTCCGCTAAAAATTATTTATAAACACTTTACCTCCGCTAATCTTTCCTGTATCGTAGCGTTTTCGATAAGGAGCCTTTGGTTGTCTCTCTCAGCTTTTTGGACTTCAACTTTCAAATTTTCTATGCTTCTCTCCAACGTCTGCTCTCGATTAGAGTTTTCCCTAACAATAATGTTCATTGAATTCCTCATTTCCTCAATACTGTTTCTCCGAGTCAAAGCTTGAAACTGAATATTTGTTATCCATATAAGATAAGGTGACTTTTTTGCTAAACTGAAAGTGCTATGTATAGTACCCTTTTTAAATGTCTTAATTATAAGTGGAAGAATTGTATTCTTTTTATTCTTTTAAATCTTTCGAAATTGACAACAGCAGTACGTCAAAGACACAACTTCAAAAAGAAACACTTCAGACAAATAGCACAATAATGAGAAAAATATACGACTTTTTACAGTACTAAAACATTTGATATGTAAACTTTCGATTAACTTGAACTCTTATAACATATACACAATTATATGAAAGGGCTCTTCTGAACTCATTTAGATAAAGTCTGTTTTAGGGTGCTAACATTCAAATATACAATTATATATTAATGAGTCCAAATTCAATAATTCTTACAATAAAAAAAATATTTTCCTGAGAAAGAACACTCGGTTATCTAATCAGTCATATTGCTTACTTACCTTTTCGTATATTTCATTTTCTAACCTCACGTGCTCTCGAAACATTTCGTTCAGTCGGACTATCTCAACGTCACCCATTTTGATTTAGCTTCTGAAAAATAGTTCAACTCATCTGATACAATGTACCATGAATAAAGATATAAAACATTATTGTTTAGAAACGAAATTCTTGTAGATCGTTTTCTAATATATATTTTTGTAATTGAACTATAACCTTTAAATGATATCACTTTGGTGAAATAAGCATACATTTTACATTAACAATAAAACATATGTGTTAATAAATTGAATTTAAATTGCTAAAAGATAACTTTTTTATCATAAACATGTATAATAGTTGATAAAAGATAAATATAAACCATCGCCACCAACTATTTACAGACGGTTAGCTAACATCTATAATAATGTTTTTATTGATACCTTTTATTTGCATGAAAATAAATATATATATTATTTGTATATTAACACAAAACTAAGCTAAATATGTGTTATAAGTATGTGTAAATAGCATACTTACTGGATGTTCAAAATCCGTTGTTTTGTGCAAAACTGAAAATGTAATTATCGAAATGTGATACAGGTCGTTTTGTAATAGATATTTTTAAAATTTAAATGATAGTTCTTTGGTAAAAATAAGTATACATTATACACAAACAATAGAAATATTTGTTTATAATTTGAACTTTTATTGCTCAATGACTATACTACTTTAATATTACATATGATGGTTGAATATACAGTTTTGCTTAAAGATAAATGAAATATTAACAATCGCCACCAACTACAAATAGACGTTTCACTCACTTACATAGTTATGTTTTTTTAATATTAATATTTATTATTTATATGGATATAAATTTATATTATTTGTATATTAACACCAAACTTAGCTTAAAACGTGTTATTAGTAAGCGTAAATTGTATACTTACTGAATGTTCAAAATTCCTTCTTATGTGCAGAACTGAAAAAAGTTTACAAAATGCAATAATATTTTTTAATCAATTAAATAACCTTGAAAAATAATAAGAACATTGCTTAAATATCTATGTGTTGTAAAACTCCTTGTCGGTAAAATTAGACAAAAGAAAAGTTTTCTGCTTAAACAGCGATATCTTATAAAACAAAAAAGAATTACAAAGCGGCAAGTGCGTCTTTTGTTTTCCTTAGACATTTAATTTTCCCTATATTGTTTAAAAGATATTTGAAGATAAACTTGTCCCTTTAAATGTATATTTTTTACACATTATGAGCAGTTAATAAATCAAATTGTCTATTCAGCTGTCAAATATGACGCCATGCTTTTAAAATAAAGTTACAATATTTACGCTATATTGAAAGTAATGCCATAAAGTCACTAAAGTGTGAAGAAAAATCGTTATTATCGTTAAAATCATTTCCTCTGTACTACTTATAATAAATCATTATTATTATTATTATTATTATTATTATTATTACTATTATTATTATTATTATTATTATTATTATAAGTGTTGAGTTGTTTTATTATTGTACTCATTATTATTATTATTATTATTATTATTATTATTATTATTATTATTATTATTATTATTATTAATGTTCTTAGTATTGTTGTAATTATCTTTATTATTATAATATCTTATTATATATGTTATATTATAATATTATCATTATTTTTGCTATTTTTTTAATTTTATTATTATTACTATTACTGTTATTATTATTATTATTATTATTATTATTATTATTATCATCATCATTTTCATCATCATCATCATTATCATCATCATTATTATTATTATTTTTATTAGTATCATTATTATTATTATTATTATTATTAATACATATTGGATCATGGTGTTCAACAGAAATATTGTTCAAGGTGTTTAATTGAATTTCTTTTTCATTCTATTTAATCTGACAAACCTTATGATTTCTCTTCCATATTATTAATAACTTTAAGAGTATTTCATTTAAATGAAACAATACATGTTTCAAACAAAATAATCTATAAAAACTTTAGTGTTTACCCTGTCAAAGCCGTAGGTCTAATATAGTAAATATACCGAAATTTTAGTTGCGATATCATAACATACTCTAAGCAGATAATAGCAAAAGCTAATTAATACTTGGTCAGCTGTACTTGATATAGAATTATACTTGCAAAGTTTTGTAGAAGACTGTTATACCAATTAAGATGTATTATATGTTGAACTTGGACCTTTACCATTGTACATTCATAAAAAACTAATATTGTAATGCTATAAGTACATAAACATCTATTAAACATGCATTTTGCTCTTCTGTAAACCATGTTTTTGTAATTGAAAATTTGACTAATTGCTTAAGAACATTTTGTTTTAATGCAATCATATATTTGTTGTTGTAGTATCAATACAGAGATAACAAAGAAATGATTTTAAAAGGTTGTAAATTGTTAAAAAAGAGTCTAAGTAAAGACGATAAAATTGTCAAATCTCAACAAACAGTATCAACTGCGCATTTAGGTATCAAAATACTATGATTTGTTAAATTCTAAAATTTATTTGAGATTCGAGGTATCATACGAGCATTATATGCTAAAGAAATCAATCAATTTCAGTGGACACAAGAGTGTACGTTAGATCAAAGATTTGTAAATGTAGGAAAAAAGATTATACTATTTAAAATTTTGTCTTGCTAGACAGCCTTTAATATTCCTTTTTTACTTTTTAAGTTATTTTCAACTAAGCCAAACAAGTGTCCTACCTGTTTGAGTTCTTGATTTTTTAAAACAGAAAATTCCAAAAATATAAACGTATTTTCGCTTTTCGTTTTTGTTAGCGTAGATTTTCAAACAAATGTACGCATTTTTATAGCCTTGCTAATACACAATATTATATTGCTTAAGCCTTATTTATATTCGCCGTATAAATATAATTTACTCATATACACATTCAATGGCGCTTAAGAATGATATAAACGGATATCGCATTACAAACAATATAATTAAAATTCTAAGAAAGCTTTTAAACAATTAATGTGCTAAACATGCTAAAAAAATGGCAAAACATCAATATCATAATAATTTAGCAAAACAAAGTATCATAAAAGTAATTTAGCAAAACTAAGAAAATATTAAAATAAAGTAGTATAATCTTCACTCGACTTTTATCGATTTAGTGCACTTTAACGCTGTGTATGTATAATGCACATCACATTAAAAGATATGCAGTGATGTGCCATACTGTTTTACGGAGTCGCAAAAGCGGAACAGGTATGTCATAAAGATACATTTTTGAATAGAGTCTAAAACAATTTGAACAGTACCGAGTCTTGTGTTATATCTTTGTGTTATACTTTGATTTCAAGGAAATAAATCAATATGCCCTCTACAACACCCATCAAACTATACAGAAAATACCAATGGTATCGAAGACTCAAACACCAAAAGACAATGATGAATTCATTAGTATGAACGGATATAGTGTGACAAATACTGGCTTCAAAGGAATTATCATTTCTACACATCTTAAAAATCTGAATATGTACACACTTAATGCCTATGGGCAGTGACAAATGATTCACATATAAGGTCTATCGTGTAATAAACTTATATCATTGTAGAATTACATTGATTTATGGGGCGTCCGTGGCCGAGTGGTTAAGGTCGTTGACTTCAAACCACTTGCCCCTCACCGCTGTGGTTCGAATCCCGGCAGGTACTTTGGATTATTTTATGTGAGGAAGCTATCCAGCTAGCTTACGGAACGTTGGTGGTTCTACTCAGGTGCCCGTTCGTGCTTGAAATAATGCACGGAAGGGCACCTGAGTTCTTTCTCCACCAGTAAAGCTGGAACGCCGCGATATGACCTATACTGTGTCGATGTGACGTAAAACCAAAAACAAACAAACACAAAACATTGATTTATTTGGGCAGGTGCTGATAGATTTTAGATTTTATAATCAATCCATATAACTGTTTTATCAAAAAAAAAAGATAAATACATGTAAAAAGGGTATTAATTGATCAATTCGTACAAAATGGCACAGTCAGCTTGAAAATTCATCAAAAGATATAAACTATAGGCTATTTAAAAATGATATATCATTTGAAGCATATCTAAATGTACTGCCAAATAATCAATGGTTCACTCTTTTCAAATTTAGAACAAAAATCATAAATTACCTGTTGAAATAGGAAGGTGGCGCAACTCACATCTCCCATATGAAGCGCGTAAATGCAATCTTTGTATGTTAAATGAAGTCAGTGATGAATTTCACTATATGTTAGTGTGTCCTTTTTTCTGTCTTCAAAGAAAGCGATACATCCCAACTAACTTACAGTAGACCAAACGTGTTGAAATTTAAGGAATTATTATGAACAGAAAATTTTGATCTTCTTAAAAATATTGTATTTTTAGCACGTTCTATTATTGAGCATTTAAGACTAATAGCTAGAACAAGACAGGCCTAACGAGTTTCTAAGTTAAATCCAAATGAATCCAAGTTCTACCTAATTTTCATATATTGCTTCCTGACTATCTTAGTAACGAACGATTTAATATCTATAGCCTTTCTTAGCGGTTGTAAATATTTGCAATGTCGTAGTATTGTCTATGTGCACCTGTAGTGACGTATTAGTATTTTCTCACGCCACCTGATATTCCTTTGCATTACTTTACATAAGTATGTATGATAATTTGATAAATGACTATTGATAGAAGAAATAATAACAAAATGTGTTATTTTATATATATATATAAATATCGTAATGCTCTACTACTCTCTTTTGATACACATTTTCTAGAAGTAAACATATATATTTTATGACATACATGTATGTACATGTACTTACTATTTAGCAATTAATCATAAATGTATATTTCGAAACATAAACAACATTGCAGCAGTTTTTGACAATATAATTACTGCCCCCATGTGATGAAAATACCGTTTAAAGTAGAATTTGTATTAAGTATCATGTCACCCACTTTTTATTTTATGTTACATATTGTTACTATTCTGATGTGGCTTCTAATAAAAGTCATTGTTGTTGTTGTTGTATAAGATTATTATTATTTCTATGGTTACTGGTTAAGGAAAATGTTTATTTGATATAAAAATAATGTTGTTTTTTTTCAATTTTCTGTATCGCAATTTAGTTTTATTTAATTTTAAACTGAATGCAGTGTATTTGTTCCTGATTTCGGATATATTCCAGCCTTTAGATAAGTTTAATACAACAAATGAGTTTTAAAATATGTAAATATTTGTATTGATTAATTACATATTTGTGATTACACTTATTTTCTAGAATTTTTAACAGTACTGTAACAGGCGATTTTGTTTGATTTTTATTGGCTTATTCTTTTACATTTTGTTTATTACTGACAATTTTTCACGAAATCAACCAGATGTTTGTTCTATGTAATGCATCGGTAACTAAATTTACGTAGTACTCCAATATATTGTTACACATTAATAAATTTCAAACAAATATATTAACATATGTTTCAATGTTTGTTTGTTTGTTTTTGGTTTTACGTCACATCGACACAGTATAGGTCATATCGCGACGTTCCAGCTTTACTGGTGAAGGAAGACCTCAGGTGCCCTTCCGTGCATTATTTCAGGCACGAAAGGGCACCTGAGTAGAACCACCGACGTTCCGTAAGCTAGCTGGATAGCTTCCTCACATGAAAGAATCCAAAGTCCCTGTCGGGAAACATATGTTTCAAGTGCTTTCAACAAAAAATAACAAAATATAATAATAGATTTAAAACCCCACTTTCATAATAAATCAATTATGCGAGTATATGAGATTAACGGCACAAGGTTTAAGGTATATTTCCCAATCACATCCTACGCTGTTGCATTGCGGACAAAGATATCTAAATATCTGACCAAGTGTTCATGAATCAGCGAAATAATTTGAGACTTGTGTTTTCGCGAAATGAAGATCAGAAAATATAATATATATATAATATATACAGTATTTTACTACAATGTATTGATCTCTTTGTTTTTGTAAAGGATACATAAATAACTTACGTTGGTATTCACAGTAGGGAGCACTAGTGTGTTATATCTTGCAATATTGATTTCAAGTATACTTTTACTTTTGAACATGCTTTAATGTAATGATTTATTGCCTTTGTACAATTTCTAGTGCATAGCCTTCAGATCTAACGGTGCTAAATTGTACGCAACGAACTGGAGAATGGTTCACAATTAGTATAACGTTAACATTTGAAATAAATACGGCTTATATATTTCATATTACTCACACATAAGGACACATGTTGAAAGAATGTTTTAGGCAAAAACAAATTAAAAACACTTGTATATTTGTCTTTTGCATTTTGAATTTGTCGAGGATCCGATTGTACGTGCTGCGGTCCAATCTCCTCTTTCAATATCTAAGGGAGAGAGAGCCAAAATAATGTATGGTGGACATTATTTTTATGTACTGCAGAGCAATTTCAAACTTAAAATGTTGCAGGGACATTATTCAAATAAACACCATGTTTGATTTTACTGTTGAACGGAAATACTTCTATTTACTAAGGTCGACTGTCCCTTTTAAATTGTGTGGAAACCAGTTAATATATGCTTTGCACTATATACCACTCTCTGCTTGTAACCATTAACTAAGGACCGCCATAGGCTGAAGACTGTCATGTTAGCCTGAGCCAAGGCCGAATGCTAATATTACAGTCTCAAGCCCAAACCCATGGCCATAACGAAAATACCTAATTATTGACAATTTATTAATTAACTACTGTAACATATAATTTGAAAAAAATAAGTACTTAATGAACAAAGAATAATTAATGTGAAATTTCGTTGTTGTGAAGTAAAGCAAATTAGATTCTTGTTTTAAAACTCTCATAATAGCCGGGTTTATTCATAAAGGCCGTGCTTTTTTGTATAATGGCCTTGTTTTCATAATGTCGTGGTGAACTTCATATTAGCCTTACATTTGAAGTGAAAACGTGCCTAATATTGAAAAGTTATTAAATAATCAATGTTGAACGAACATGGTTACAAGATTACTGTAGTCTTTGAACAGTTTGAAGGGCACTTTCGTATTAACTTCAGACGACTCAAAGTTTCACCTCTTTGAGGCACACTTTGTCTACTTACTTGAGATCATTCTCTCAAATGAACTGTTGAACTGTTAAAGAGATGCTATTTCTACTTATAATTGACCACTTATCAATTTTAACGGCAACATTTTTAATTTTACTGTTTTGGCGTTCTTTAAGAAGTCTGCTTTTCACTATTTAGCTGTTTTAGGTGCCCAACTTTTATACAAATGACCAAAATTCACTTAAATGAACGTCTGAGGGACGCAATTCATTCTTCCTGATATAACTTTATACTTTGAATTGTTTGAGGGACATAATTAGTATTAACGTATTTACTAGGGATCACATTTTGTTTAAACTGTTTTAAGGACTCGGTGCCTGTATATAGCATACTACTCTCCACCTAAATATTTTTAAGGGTACGATACATGTTTACTTAAGGCTATTCCCTATTTAGACTGATTAAAGAACATGTTTTAAATTTACAAGAGTCCACTCCCTGCTTAAAATGCTTAAGGGATTCCATTCTTAGTTGCTAGAGACGTATTTTACATTGAAATGGAATAACACAAGAGTGAGGGTATTGAATGACAAATGCCTAATTCCATATGGAGTCATTTACAATTGTTGAAAATATTAACGTGTGAATACTTTAACCTATTAAAGAGATCATAAACAACTTGGGCAAAATTATTTGTGCCGTTTTTCACTTTCTTCAATGAACCTTGGGACCTCTTGTGTGATCCCTGGATACATTGATGAAACCCACTTTATAAAAACAAAACAATAAAAAAGAAAAAAAGATATACACAAATGTATAGGCGAGTTGACAGCTCATATTTTATTACACTACCAATTGTATTGTTTCTTTTGTTATTCTAAAGGTAAGTAAGTGTAAAGTTTTATTAATTTTGAAATAAGATAGTTCAACTATGTTTTTACTTTGTTCTTATTCCTTGCCTTCAATTCGACATTTAAAATATGGTATTCAAGAGCCGTTTTTAGATTTAAAAAGTTCAGTCACTCATTTCAGTTATGTCTAATAATGTTAACAAATTTACAAGTGTAACATTTAAATAACTAAATTAATGTAATAATCAATTTCAGAAAATGGCATTAATACGTTAAGAAACATTTCACCAAAGTTAGCCAGCTCGGACAACTTTGACATTTCATTAAATGTATTTAATTATATATCAGTGATTTTACATATATGAATAATTTATTCATTCAACTGTGGTAAGTTTTTGAATGAATCCTTTTTATAATTTAGTAAAATGTATATTAGTTTTCACATGTTATTAAAATAACTTGATTTTGTATATTTTCTTATTTTTACTTCATTTTTAATTCATTATTAATACTTGAAAGCGTTAAATAATAAAAAATAAAAATGTTTAAACTGTCTATTTTCTAGACCCGCAGACATGTCGACAGACCCATCAGAGACTAGAAATTACCAGCGGTTCATTGCTGCCTTTATTGACATAGGAACGGAAACATTACTGAAATTGTTATACTACAAGAAACCGAAACATGAGCTGAAGAATTTTATATTGTCAAAAGATACTGACCTGAAGAGAGACCTTTCAGAGTGGCAGTACAAAAAACTTAAGTACATATTAGCAAATAATACGGACGACTTCGATATTTCACTTTTATTGGCACTCCTAAGTTCGCAGTTCGAGTTTGAAGGTGTCATGAAAGAGGACTTGAAGAAAATGAGGAAAATAAGAAACAAAATTGTTGCCCATTCAACAAAAGCAACAATGAATGAAAAAGACTACGACAGTCTGTTCGAGAAACTAGACACAATTATTTGGCGAATAGTTAAGGTTGTTGACACAGCCTTTGTGGATTCAGTTGCTACAAAGATTAAAATGTACAAAGAGATGTCACCAGAATCTTCTCGGGTAGCTGAATATAAGGCAACGCTTAAGGAATGGCACGATGAGTTGGTAAGACTAGCACTTTTAATGCTTATAATTGTCACATTGCTAAAAATACCGGCAACCTATCAACATGAAAAACTTTAATCAACAGTAACAAATAATGTTAAACACAAATTTGAACATCCTGCATATCCTATTTTAGATTTTAAAATGACGAAATGACGTTGTATCCGATGTCAACTATTTAATGAAGTTTTTCATGCAAATAATTAATTATAGTTGTTATCTTTTTGTTGTTACATGTATTCAAAACTATTATTTATTCATAACTTATTTGCTGGCAATTGTTGCATTTGCACAGACCATCCAAACATAATAAAATGATACTGCATTTATGTTTGTTACAGCTTTCATTTAAGGGGCATTTATGGCTATTCTTTTTTCTTCTCCTATGGTTCAACACTTTAAAAGCCTGACACTTAAATTTAAACAAGTAATAATATTTTATTATACATATTTCAGGGAAAAGAATTATTGAAGTACAACCATGGTAAGTTAAATAAGTATATCGACACGTTTGAAATGACAAACATATAATTACAGTTACATGTTTTAGACATTTGTCATAGATGTTCTTTTTTTTGAGTTCTATAGCTCTAATCGAATAAGTTGTATTATCATAACCCTGTTGAAGAAGGTCCTTGTTGAATACAAATTAATCTTTGTTGGAATAAGTACGTTGTGCATTGATGTTGATAATCTTATTTACAATAAAACATACAATATATAATTTAATATTTACCTTTGCGTTTCTTTGTGTCTTTCTTGTTTAGATCTCAAAATGTTCTTCAGTCATGAAAATGAAAAGTACATCCGTTATATAAAGCTCCTAACAGATGCAGCACCGAAAGTCTTAAAAGGATTTCTGCTTCACGAATTAAAGTGCCGAAGACAAACAGTAAAGGAATTCCTTATGCAAAACCAAACTTTTTTGATGGCAAACCTTCGGAATCAGGATACTGTTTCACAGCTGTTTGGAACAGAAGAAGATGGTACAACTATTGCTTATCCAGACATAACTTGGGATGCGTGTGTCATAGCTGAAGTTCTGTTGATTGTATTTAGAGGTAACATAACAAGAAGAGAGCGAAAACATATTCAAGGATTAAAGAGAGCACATGAAACATATTCAACTACCGCCATTGAGGCCCTAGATAAAGACAAAATAGAGCACTGTTGGGCGGAATTAAGTCATAGCTTAAGATCACTTGCTGAGGATCTCGGTGAGGACATTGAAGAAGAGGTAAACAATCTTATTAAAAAGTATCTGACCTATAATTGTTCTGACCTTGAGCTAGGAGATTTACTGGAAAAACTAAAAAGTCGATGCCGTGGAATTGCCAGTATTGCAGATAAATATCAAGGTAAATTTCTTTAAGCGAAATATCCTTTCTAAGCCGTTTGTGAATTTAGATACATGATATATACTTAAGTTATCGAATCATATTTAACCTAGAAACATTTTTATTATCAGCGACTCAATACAAATTCACGTGTATCATTGTAGTGTGTGTATTCTGAATATGAATGTTTGCATTATCAGCAGAATATGATTTAAGAAAATAACATTACAGCTTTTGTAGTTTTTGTTGTTGTTGTCATAGTGCGTGCGTGTTTCCATGCGTGCGTGCGTGCGTGTGTGTGTGTGTGTGTGAGAGAGAGAGAGAGAGAGAGAGAGAGAGAGGGAGAGAGTGAGAGCGCCTGTGTATGTGTGGCTTTTTGTATTTTATTTTTATTTTTTTGAAGTTGGTGTTGTTTTTTATTTTGTTTCTTTGTTTCTTTTTCTTTTTCAAAATATTACCATGCTGCATTTTATTCACATATTTGCATGACGATCACGGAAAGTTTGCATAAAAAAATAGTGATAGAAAAAATAAGATAAATAGAAAAACAACCATTAAAGTTTAACTGTAACATGTAATCATTCTTGGTTTAGTATTATTATAAGATAACAAGAATGACTTTGTCACATGTTTAAATCAGATTATCAGTAAAAAAATTGATTATAACATTTAACTTTTTTAAAATATGTAGTATGTCTAGCTAGAAGTGTCAATTTATAATTTATGTCGAAAACAAACATAATTATTTCCTCAAAGACATTTCGAAATGATTTGTTTGATTGCAACTCTTATTAAAATTACGTAAAAAGGATTTTATGCAATTTGTGTATGTAGATTTTTATAAGGAGTAATTTCCACATCGGTCTCCCCAAACCAAAATTCTATAAATATATCTTTCTATAATTAGGTGCACATACAAATCAAATTATAATAAATTAGTTGCATATTTCAAACAATTGAATTTTATAATGGCGATTGAACAATTTTTGATCATATTAAGTACCGTCCATGAACAGGCTCAATCAAACCGAGCCTGCAACATTTTCAATTTTGTTGTGTTGGACTTTATTTAGGAATTCTGTTTTTCTCTATTTTAAGAATAAAATGGTAAAAAAGGACTGTTCCATATATTGAACAATAATGTCATATATGTTTGATTGCATTCTTTTTCAGTCATTCTATTGTTCTAACAATACCAGTATTTAAAAATATTTAAAGTATTTTAAAAATCCTTAAAGAAACGGTTGTTAGATTAAACATTCGCGCGTCCATACTATGCACAGAATGTTAAAAAGATCAAATCTTTATAACGATTGTGTAATGCAGCGAATTCCTTAGGTTAAACAGTTTTCAAAAGCAATATAAGTCGGTGAACCCGTCAAATGCATAAACCAAGACTGAAATCACATTTTCATTTTATATTATCATTAAACGTATACAGGTAAATGCAGTCAATCAAACATGCTATGATAACTGGTTTGCACTGTTCTTACATTGACATTTACTTGATGCTTGCAGAAACTGTCCAAAAGCTACATACAGCGCTCGAAGGGCTCACAACAGATGAAGCTGTGGAATTCAGAAAATATGAGAGTAAGAGTTAATTGCGATGGAATTTATAAACAAGTTGCTTGCTTTCCATTGTCATAGTTGTAATCTTGAAAACAGTATTTCAATTTATTTAAATCCCTACCTTCCTGGAAAAATAGTGATAAGCCCCGGCCACAAGTGAAGAACTAGACCAGCCTGCACTTCCATGCCGTTTGAATTATAATTCCGGATTTTTTAACGTTAATTTTCATCTTGATATCCCTTACCCATACTGATAAACGTATTTCACTAGGTAAGTGGTATAAAATTGACCATTGGAAAGATTTTTTAATTATTTATTTCAGTTGATGTAAAAATCCACGTTTGTTGTGACAATTGCCATAAGACACTACAAGTAGAACAGGCGATTATAGGTCTTTTCACAAATCCAGACGAAGACGACGAGCCTGCAATTCCTGCGCTCCGTGAGATAAAAAGGGCTATTAATAGCATTAAAGGAATAAGTGTAGTGGGAGCAGTTACAGAAAGCGTCGTGTTAACAGTTAGATGTGAATCTGGACAAAGTCTTCTACAATTAATTAATTATATTAACTGGAAAGGATTTCAAGACCATCTGACAAACTTGGAAGCAGAACTAGAAGACCAATTTGACGATATCTTTCACGTGTCCGGCAACTTAACTCTGGATACTCTGACACGTTGGTTTGATCCACACTCAGGTAACTAGACATGTACTGTTCATCATTATCTAATTCATCATTAAGCTCAGTGTCGCAGGTGGTACCTTCAAAAGAGTAAGCCCTATTTCATTTCTTTTTGTTTTTTGTCTTGTCCATAGGAATCCTTGGTTTCAAAACATTTACTGTTGAGTTAAATACCGCTCTTATTGGTCATAGCGGCATGTAGGATGGTGTATTTGCAATTGCTTCTCATGAACAGGCCCAATAACGCCGAGTCTTTTGGCTTTTATAATCATTGTTACCCTCTTTTATAATTCTTATTCTGTGTCTTTGTGCAATTCCTTTCGTTCGTGTCTTAAAGGAGATTCAAGTTTAATCAACCAAATAACATTCGTTGTATTCTTTCCCTTCAGGACAGTTAAAGAAGCAGTTTGAGGGTGGAGTTGTTTTATCATTAGCAAGCACTTCACAGGAAGGTATGAGACAAGTATTACAATTCTTTGACAGTGCACATGCTGCAAATTGTTTCAACAGGGTGGCAGAGGGTCTTTCTCATCAGATTAATGCAAATATAAAATTGAAGGTTACCGTCGACAGTAAGGAAATACGTGATGTTTTAACGTGATACGGGTAAGGAGGAGAAATAACTAAAAAGATATTTACAGCTACCGTGAAAACAAACAAAATAAATTCTTAAACCTTATACTAAGTCTCGTGTAAGACAAATCGCGTATCCGCTTTTTACATGTGCCGTATCAATTTTTGAGCAGGGCAGTGCGAAGCTTTATTACTGTTAAAGATGTTAAATTGAATATTCCACTGACCTCATCTACCTTCATTCGACAATAAGAATTGTGATTTACATAAGGACATTTGTTTACAGCAGTCGAACCATAAGCTTGTTAATAAGTTAAGTTATAGCTCAGCATTATTTTATTTCAATCATCGGCAGAGAGATCGCTCAATGGTTATATTAAGTGATGATTTTACTATTTTGTTGACTTAATGAATGTTTTTTTTTCAATATGTTTACCTCAAATGAATCAAATAGAGAGCAATCTATACTTAAAACATAGTATGTTGTTTTGAAATTTGCAATGTTTTAGGCTTTTAAAATAACAAAAAGACATGAGTTTAAACCCGGGCAGCAGTGTTGGGTCATGACGTTTCCCTTTTTTTATTATACTGATAGGGAAACATTAGAACAAAGTTACGTCCCTTCACTAAACAGTCTCAAATTTTTTACCCTGTCAAAAGGGAAAAGTCCAAAGAAATTTATCGAAAAGTTGGGCTCAACATTCGCAAAAAGATAACAATAACAACTGTATAAAAAACCAAAAAATATTTTAAAATTTCTTTCCCTTTTATCGGAAACAATCTTAAAAAAAAATAGAGACGAAGATTTGAAAAATTGAGTTACAACCAAGGGAAAAATTGTACAGAAAATCCCTCAAAAAAATCGTAACCCAAAAGAGAACGTGGGTTTAAATAAATTTAAGTAAAACTTTTTTTAAATTCTTTTAAACTCTCAATGTCAATAAATCTTTATATAAAAAATAATGTTATAATAAGTATGGTAGAAACGTAGCACTTAACACTTCATATATATAACAATGTCATGACTACATTTGCCTTAATTTATAGAAAATTACCATCTTTGCTTTTTTTAAATATTTTCAGACACAGAATGGAGAAGTTATCGATGAGATCAAAAAAGAAAAGGCGTTGTTAGAGGGATATTTAAATGGGGTAACGTTTCAATTATAATGAATGGATCAATACGTTGAGCATTTTACAACTGCCCCAGCCTTGCAATCGACATTACCTTAGTTTTCATCACAAAACTGAAAATGTCTTTGCATATGTAAAAGGTTTAAATTCGTCGCTTCAATCAAACAATATTTACATTTTCTTCGTCTTCCTTGTTAAATTTTTGTTCTGTCCACTTTTTGTCCTCATGATTAACTCCTTGGTTACCTATAGAATTCATCTCCTTATTAACTTGTTTTTGTTATGTGCTCAAAAACAGGTGTATATTGTTATGCACTTGATTGTCCGTTTGTCGGTCATCTGTCCGTCCGTCTATAAGCAGTGTTTCGTGTCAGGTTTTTATCCTTTGTGGAAGAAAATTGAAACTACAGGGCAGAAGTGTTTACCATAATCAAACAATGTGCAGAGCGAAGATTTGACATTTCTCAGGTCATAGTCAAGGTCACACAAGGTCATTGGTATTATTATAAAACTTTTGTGTCCGCTCTATGTCTTTTGAACTGGTAGAAGGAAATTAAAACTTTTTGGCAGGAATAATACTTATTTTGAGACGGTCTGCAGGACACAAGTTTTTTTAAGTTTCATCATTTAAAAACTAAAAAGGGACATTGCTGTTTTCAGTCAGTATATATACTCTGTGACAACTGCATGGATATTGATAATCACAACTCTGTGCCTCAAAAGTAGCTTTTTTAAGGGCATGACCGGTGACATATCTTGGGTCTGTACTCTACAGCAAAATGCGCGAGCACCTTGTCGATGGATCGATCACTCACATTTGAATAAATGTAAATATTTGATTTTTAATCAAGCTCTTTGAAATATTTTTTGTGTTTAGCCAAAGATAAGATGGGCACAATGCTACATGTAAGAAAATGTGAGTCAACATTAACTTTTTAGTAGAGAAATCAAGATGTGTCTCCTTGCGAAAGAAAACACACGAGTTAATATTTGGTAAAAGTTGTAGCAACGTCATTTTAGAGTATTTCGTATCGAAACTGTATCAAAACTTGTGAGAATGTTCTTCGTGGCAAAGCATTCTTCGATTTTTGAAAAAGAAACATATTTTTTTTTAAATTGGATGTTTTGTTTAAACTGTTTTTACCTTTTCTGCTTTGTTTTGGGCGATGGCTCTATAACGGAAATGTCGAGGGTTCTCATTAAAATGTGAAAAGATCACTAAAATGTGAAAGAGCAACTGTTTAGTAGGCGTATAAAAACAACTTTGCATTCGAGCGTATGTTGTGGTGCTCTTGTTTTTTGAGTTTTTTAATTTTTTAATTATAACATAATAATCTAAATTATAATCTAAAAATGTTAAAGTTTTTTCTTTTGTTTGAGATTATCAAACATAATAGAAATTGTAGCCATAAAGTGGAAATCAATTTCGCACCTTCCTATGTATGGTTACAAAACATACAGAGAGAAACTATGTCAAGTTTGCAAACGGCATTTGCATGTACTATACATTTTACAAAATATATACTCTGCTGAGGTAAGATAATATACGCCACAGTGTATTGTAATGCGGTGTCAAAAAGAACTATTTAGTGAGTAAATGGCCATGAATCATGTAACTTGCTCAAAAGAATACGATCTAAATGATATGACCTCAATAGGAGAAATATTTGACAATATTCACATACAGACTGATGACCAAAGACGTAACTTTTGGGGCGTCCTTGGCCGAGTGGTTAAGGTCGTTGAATTCACACTTCTTGCCTCTCACCGCTGCGGATTCTTTCATGTGAGGAAGCTTTCCAGCTAGCTTACGGAACGTCTGTGGTTCTACACAGGTGTCCGTTCGTATCTGAAATAATGCACGGAAGGACACATGAGGTATTCCTCCAGCAGAAAAAAGTGGAACGTCGCTATATGACCTATATTGTGTCGGTGTGACGTGAAACCCAAACAAACAGCAAAATAACCGTATTAAATCAAATGCAAGAACGTTGCACAAAACTAAACATTCATCTTAATTGCAGTTTTTTTTCCATCGATTCACAGTGTTCACAGGTATGCTATGGAACTGATTTACGCTCAGATACATAACATAACATGCTCAAAGTTTCTCCTGTAAGAAATCTTGATGTGCATATATATATAAAATAATAATGAAGAGTTTTATTTTCGGGCAGAATGTTTCCCTTAGTAGAAAAGTGTCGGACATTTATTTTTTTTAATATTGAAACAAGGCAAGTCCCTAATTGTGATGAATGCTCCTCGGATCTGAATGTGTGGCTCTGCGTTTCAATGCAAACTTTATAGGACGATCATTACATAGACCTTATCCTATATCCACGTACAGCCACTTTTCGATCAGCTAACAAACTTTCCAACAACAACTGTCAGTGAACTGATTTAAATAACTTTTCTCTTATAATTCCATTAATATCAATCTTTCAACTTTATAATTCAACAATTTTTTGAAATCTTACCTGAAAAACAAATATGCAACACAATCAAAACAATGTTGACCTATTTTCCGGCCATGTTAAATTTTACTGCCACTTTTCGATCACTTTACGACATCTATACTGCACCTCATAAAAAGCGTCACACAATGTCAAAATTTCATCAATTTAGTAACTAAACGAAAATTTTAAAATTTCAACTTCAGATAAACGGTAATTAACAGTTTTAACATATTTACAAGGTCAGTTTACTGTTCTATTGTTCATTTTGCGTAGTGAGACTGTCACAGTTGGGGCATAAAAATCTGTCCCCTTTTCTTAAGACTCTTACTGGGGTACAGAAAGCCAAATGAACCCAACCATTGCTTTTATCACACTGACCCCACTTGACTATGATTATGAAAGGTCTTTTGCTAGTATCAGGAGAGAATTTTTTGCATACAAGACACTTATCTTTTTCAGGTATTTCATCATCTGAAGATTCATTTTCATATTCATCTATTCTCTCTCTAATGTTTTTTTTTTTTTTTTTGCTCTTTTCATAGGAATACCTGATGTTCCAGGTGTAGGAGATTTTGTTTTTTGTTTCTGTAATACGATTTTGCTAGATTTTGATTCAGATGGTTTTTGTTTTGAAGTTTGATTTTCTTTGTGTTCTTTAATTTTCTTTACAACATCATCTTCAGTAATTGGTTTTCCTGCAATTACTTTGCTTAGTGTATTTCTTGATTTTTTTTGCAGTTTCAACATTTTTAAGTAATTGACCACCTTTTTCCACGAGAAAACTCTCTGCTGACTTGTTGCAGCTGTCGGTTTGCTAAAAAATTGGTCTAGCCGCCTGCGAAAATGAAGTAGCTGGCGCTATCTGATGGTCTGGTACAACATCATCATTGAATGGATAAAGACCACACTTCCTGAATGCTGATGTGATGTTGTTCACAGTCAGTGTGGATGTAAATACTTTACAGGCAATGTGGCAGACATCATACCTAGTAAGTGTGCAGCCACCTGACTCCCGCATTACAAAATAGATAAATACAGAATCCCTAAAGAAAGCCCAACACGGCAAAATTGAAAATGTTGCAGGCTCGGTTTGATTGAGCCTGTTCATGGACGGTACTGGAAAGTGCAAGTTACCGTCCACGCCCCCTAGCACCGGCTTAAGCAGAATTCAACATTTAATACGAACTGGTAAAATTTAGAATTTTGAAACATCCGCAGATGTGTTCATATGGCGGTTGTCACGGCTATGACAAGCCGCATTCCAAGCTACCTCAAACGGCCCAAAGCAGCTAACGTCTAGAGGCTGGAGTATGTGTGAACAATGAGGTGGCAAAACAAAGAGAATGATGTGTTGAGACTTTGCCCATTCTATTAGTCCAAGTGAGCAGTGGCTCTTGTGCCCATCATATAAAACTAAGACAGGGTTATCTTTGTCCCTAGCCGGTAGGTACTTAACAAGATGATCTTGCATAAACTGACAGAAGATATCTGTGTTGGACCAACCAGTTTCTGACACTGTTCCAGCAGCTCCAGGGCTGGCACCTGCCATCAGACCATCAACCATTCTAGCCCTGGAAAAACAAAGAAGGGTGGCACTTGCTGGCCAACACCATTTACACAGACAATCAGTGTAACTAACTTGGACTTGCTAGATGTAACTGCCTGAGTCTTACAATGTTTCCCTGCAAACCACCTTTGGGGTTTGTGCTCAGTGCACAGACCCTTTTCATCTATATTGAACATACGATGTGGTTTTTCTAATAAATTGTACTTAACAAGTATTTGTTTAAGATTTTTAAAGTAATTTTTCAATAACGTAACGTGTTGCACTGTTAGCACGTGCTATTTCAAGGGCACGAGGTTTCTTTAATTTGAGCTCTGGCCAGCGGCCAAGGAATTTGTAGAGCCACTTATCAGTCAGAGGTTTTTGTTCTTTGCCTCTTAATCCAAGGTGGATGGCATAGTCTGTGGCCAAGTTCATTGTTTCCTGCCTACTATAACCATATCCTATTTCAGACATTGTCTTCAAATGTCCTGATAATAGTGCCTCCTGCTCCTGTGAAAAGAGTGGAGATGTTCCAGACTTTACAACATCAACATCAACTCTGCCTGCTACCCTGTCATTCAACGTAGTGTAAGGAACACCAAAACATCTGGAAGCTTTCCTGATGGACATCTCACTTTGCATAACTGACAAATATGCATTTGCCAGGTTGTCAGAGTCATAAGGTCTATATGACCCCCCTCTGGTGACAGTTTGCTGGAAAAAATCAGAGATTACATGAGAATATTGTTTAATTGGTGTAACATTGTTTATTAATTAACTTTAAATTAAGAATTTGACAGTTAAGCATATACATATATTTCAAACGTAACTTTTGTAGTGTAGTATACTTTTTACTATAAAATAGCAGGTGCGTGGCCCTGGAAAATATCAATTTTTGCAAACGGACGAAAACAGAGATCGTTTATGAAATATTTTGAGGAAATAATCTTGATTTATTAATGGGAAAATTTTAGGATTAGTGAAAAACATTATTTTTTATTATTTGAAATTAAAATAACACCTATTTACCTTTCTAATCATCATAATTCATTGCTTTGACATTTTTGACATTTATTGTAGTCGAGGTAAACATCTGATGTGCGTACGCGTCGTTTCGCGACATATAAGGGAAAAAGTAAAACATTTCCGGGGCCGATCGAAAAGAGGTTGTGATCGATTTCGGGCGGTATTGGGATAATTTCCTAAGTAAACAAACGTCCATTTTCAAAATTTTCATGTAAATACTTAGATTAAAATATTATAGCGCGTAACGTCATGTCATGTTAAATGGTGTCATAAGAACGTCTCAGATCACTGTATTTACTTTAAAATTGAATGCCAATGTAATTAAACAGCAAAATACTATAAAATGCATTACGAGAAGCTTGCGGAACATCTGTCCTATCCTTTTGTTATCCTGTTGTTCAGTTTTAAGTATGTTAAATGGTGTCATCGAAAAGTGTTATTACACGACGTCGCTTTGAGCCGTAATGGTCGCGGTAACGTCTTGGATCACTATACTTACTTAAAAATTGAATGCCAATGTTATGAAACAGCAAAACAAACAACTATAAAATGCATAACAATAATACCTATTCTATTGTTATCCTGTTGTAATCAGTGTCATGTTCAAGAATGGAAGGACGTGCGTTAAATGTCCAAACCGAGTAGGTAGATACCGACGATTATCAGACTGAATATTTATAAAAAAAAGTTTGTTGGAATCTGACCAAAGCAATACGTGCGGAGAAATTGTTTATAAGTTAGAAATTAGTGTAGGGCCAGTTCATACTATTTATTTGCGGAATCGTTTGAAAATGAGAATGGTTTTCGTCATGTTGGTGCAACATCGTCAGACGCCGGATCGATTTGAATACAGAAAACCAAGGTATCTTATCAATAATTGATGCTTTTGATAAAGCGTGTGTGCGGGCGTTTTAACCGGAGCTGAGAAGACACATCAAGCTCCCCGAAGTCGGCAAAGTATAGCAGAGCTCAATCTAAACTTAGAATGTAGATGATTTATGCCTATGATCGACTTGAAATTTTCTCTAGTCTCATGATCGCATGGTGTGGCGTCATTGCTAGAGCAATATGAATGGGAAACCCTGGTCCCATATGCCACTGACATACAACCCTGTAAATTTGACATTTTCCCTAAACTGAAGGAGGACATGAGGGGTATCCGTTATAACGATTTGGAGGAACTTAGATTGCCGTTGCATTATTAATAAATGACCCTCGTAGGAAGAAATAAACACTATTAACACAATTGACAGGTTAGTCAATCTGAAATGCAATTATCACCAAGGTATATTCATATCAAATGTAAAAGACATAATTCAATAAATAAAAGATGTTGAGCAAGAAGATTTAAGTACTTTGATCTTGAACTTGGCCTAGTCAACCAACCGGACTACTCAAGGTATGTTACGACCAAATATGATACAGTCCTATGTATAAATATGTTTTTAGCCACATAACGTCAGTCCATTTGAAATACACCCGTTAAACAGTAAAAGCTCTAAGAGCCAAAAAATTGCTGTAATAAGTTAAAATTAACTTCCTTAAAACCAAGGAAGGTAAATAAAAATGTAAAACTAAGCCAAGTTTCATTATCATATTTAAACACAATACTTATTCTGATCAGTTTAAACATTGTGTAACGTTTTATACGAAATCCTTCAATCGAATCAGTGTTCAAAGAATATTCATTTGGCATGTAATGAACTATCTTTTTGCAACTATAGCTCTGTTGGCACTCAGTATCATATTATGAAAAAGTATTTTGTATTGAAGTTAAAATTTTATTTGTTTACATTCTATTACCATTACTGCTTGTTCAGCGCTTCTTTCTTCATTTGTTAATTTAAAACATATAACATGTTCTAAATCCATTTTCAAACAGTATTTAACACATGTTTGACATATCTAATACAGGGTGATAGGACGGCCTAATGATTTTCTTAAGTTTAATCATGGTTTTATCCTACGGTTTTAGCTCAGGGAGAATAGTAAATCTTACACAACCCACTGTAATAGCCCTTTTAGAGGATCAACCCATGGTGACAGCCCCGGGGAATACATAAAAGATCACATTTTACACGGTGAAAGACCTTTAGGGGGGGTTCTTATCATTATTCGCGTTTAAAGTCAAACAATAATTTTATATAAAATATAGCTTATTTCACTGTAAGGCGTTATGAGCTCCACACCGAAAGTGACAGTGATTTTCGGGACATGACTGACATGAACGGACTGACAGGGTGAAAGGAAGGGTCGACAAGGTGACGACATCATGTTCCCCGAATCCTTAAAACAGCTTGCAATTTCTAATTTCAAATCGGCAACCGTTCCTTCATAAAATTTGTCTCATAATTTTTTTTTAGATGGAGCAGTTTGATCAAATAACTCAAATTGAACTGGAAGACTCACAGGCTGAAAACAAGAACCTTCTGAATCAAATTGACGAGATTACAAAACACGCTGAGGTATTATCATTTCACTGAAATTTTACCCTACTGGAATTTGATACTTCATAAAATAATATTTTACGAAATAATGAAACAGAGCATTTTTATGATAATCAAACTTGTTTGACCACCGAAAATAGTAAAAATCTTTGTAGTTCTATATACGGACCATAAATTCTTATTTAAAAAGAAAACTTTCAATTCTCATTTCAATAAATATATCTTTTAAACCAGGCAGAAAAGTTTGAATTGAAAATTCAACTAGAAGAGTCTGTTAAAGAACGGGAGTTATTGGAGCGACTCGAAAATGTAAGAATGGAAGAACTGCGTGAGTTGAAAATTCAAAAGTCTGACTTGGAGAAAAGGTAAGTTTTTCAATGCATATTGTATAAAGGATAAATATCTTTTAAAACTCCTAAATTTTAAAAATAGTTTATTAAATGGGGTTTCCGAGAAGAGATCAATTAAATGTTTTTGGTTTAATAAAAAAAACAATTTGATTTTTATTTCTTATCGTGATAGAAACGAACAGATTGGCTGGCTATCTGTTAATTTGTTTCATTATATATTATGACAGGTTATATGGCCCTATATAAACGTTTGTTTGGATATGTTACCCAATCAGCTAGGCAAGGGTTATTTTGCAAAGAATCGTTTATATACGGTCTTAAAAACTGTCAAAAAATCTCAACAACGAATTTATAATGCAACACAGTTCATTGTTTTAATTAGTGAAAGAAATTGAGATTTCTGCAATATTATAAGATGCATTATTATTAGACATAATGTTACTTTGGCTTTTGACGTGACTTAGTTTGTTATGATACACTCAAAGAGTTACATTTTGGGTTTCATTTTGAGTGCTTTAAAGTCAAACACATTCCTGTTTACTGTTTGCAGTTTTAAATGTTTGCATATGATAAATATCATATTACATTCTTGTAGATTTAATTATGAATTTATTGAGCTGGTATAATAAAATGTTTTTGAACTCGTTCAGCACTGAAACTAAACTCATTCAATTTATCCTTTCTTGAATATCTGCTTTGTAAATCACATGATTATGTTTCTTTTTTCAGATTGTTAGTTATGTCTTATGAGGAAATATCAAAACAAAAGGTTCATGATAACACAAACTATTTTATGCGTTTGTTTCCTTCCTCTTTCGTTTAAGCTCACCTGAGCTAGCTCAGGATTGAGCTATTAGGATCGTTGAATGTCCGTCGTCCGTCCACACTTGTTCGTTAACACTCTAGCGGTCACATTTTTGCTTCAATCATCTTTAAACTTTGTCAGGATGCTTATCTAGGTAAAAGCTAGGATAAATTCGAACATTGGTCATCTCGGATGAAAAACAAGGTCACAGGAGCTAAAAATAGAAATATTATGTTACCACTCTAGCAGTCACATTTTTTTCCAATCACCATCAAACTTTGTCAGGATGCTCGTCTAGGTAATTGCTCGGAGGATTTTGAACATGGGTCATTTCGAATGAAAAACTAGGTCACAGGAGCTAAAATTACAATAGAAAAACCTTGTTAAAGGGATACTTAGGCAAATTTATGACAAAAATATCAAAATTATCCTATGTACTCGAATCACGCTAAAATGACATTTGTAAAAGTCCCAGCATAAATGTCTGTAAAACTTCTATATATTTTTGGTTTGAAGCGTAAATATATCTTTATATGTTGAACAAAATTTAGACGCCGATAGAATCACCGAGTAGTTTTATAACTAGTAATGTGACTTGAACAAACCCTGGAAGTTACAATAACATATTTTGTGGATATAGTATGATTGAAACAAACCTAAATCATTCATTTGACATGTTCTTTAACGTTTCCAGATATCACTGTGACAACTATTGTGAAATCTTAACACACTAACCTGACCCACGTGACATGTTCAAAATCCATTTTCAAACAGTATGTAACACATGTTTGACATTTCTAAAGAATTCAAAATATTTATTTATTATTTTCTGAGACTTAATACGTCTTTAACATTTCGATTTCGTTTATAAGTCTCTTCAACTGTGTGGACGTTTCAATGAATCATTGTGCATAGGATAACCTTCAATCAGTTTTCATCAGAATCATTCAATAGATACCAGAGCAAGATAGTTTTATGGTTCTTGAACAATGTACTTCCCCTCTGTCTTAAACATTATGTGAAATTATAATTAGTTTTCTTTGATTTTTTTCAAGTTATAAAAGAATACTTTACACGTTGACTTGTTTTCAAAAAAAACGTATGTTAAGATATACATGTTTTTGATAAGTAATGTGTTTGGTCACACAACTAATCAATTAATTGTGATTATAAAGGGTATAAAACTAAATCCTTTGAAATATTTATTAAAAAACAATTATATTGTTTCAATACTCAAATGGTCGATTCTCGAAAAAGTTGTAACAGAGATTGTTTCTGTTATTTAATACTCATGGATATTGAACGTATTTGAATAAAATGTTCGGATCATATCATTATTTTGCTATTTTAAGTACGGTTTTATCTGTTCAGCAATGGTTTCTTTTATGCACCCTTCGTGTTTTCAGGAAATTTACTTCCATATTTTTTCCACACAAACATTCTTTACACAACTCATGGTGATAGGCCTATCTAAAGGTCCTTATAGCAATTTTACCTACGGTGATATCTTAATGGTTTTCTCAATTTCTTATCATGGGTTTTTCTCATGTTAACCCACGGTTTTAGCTTCAAGGATAACAGGAAATCTTACACAACCCACTGTGATAGCCCTTTTGAGAATCAATCCATCGTGACAGCCCCGGGGAATACAGGAAAGATCACACATTACACGGTGAAAGACATTTGAGGGGGTTCTTATCACTATCCGTGTTTTTAAGTCAAACAATAACTTTATATAAAATATAGCTTTCTTCACTATAAGGCATTATGAGCTCCACACCGAAAGTGATTGTGATTTTCCGGACATGGATGATATGAACGGACTGACAGGGAGAAAGCAAACGTCGATAAGGTGGCGACATCATGTTCCCCGAATCCTTTAAACAGCTTTCAATTACTTATTTCAAATAAGCAACCGTTCCTTCACAAAAAATTGTCTCATCATTTTTATTTTAGACGGACCAGTTATTTCAACTCAAAATAACTCAAATTGAACTGGAAGAGGTACAGGCTGAAAACAAGAACCTTCTGAATCAAATGGCACAGATTACAAAACATGCAGAGGTATTACAATTTCAATGAATTATTACCACGTTGGACGTCGAGTTAAAATCCCTACTGGAATTTGATACTTCATAAAATAATATTTTACGAAATAATGAAACAGAGCATTTTTATGATAATCAAACTTGTTTGACCACCGAAAATAGTAGAAATGATAATTCATTCTTCAAAGGCTATTAGTCTAATGCAATTGAAATCTTTGTACAATAAACTATTTTTGTAGTTCTATATACGGACACTTATTTAAAAAAGAAAACTTTCAATTTTCATTTCAATAAACATATCTTTTAAACCAGGCAGAAAAGTTTGAATTGAAAATTCAACTAGAAGAGTCTGCAAAAGAACGTCAGTTATTGGAGCGACTCGAAAATGTAAGAATGGAAGAACTGCGTGAGTTGAAAATTCAAAAGTCTGAATTGGAGAACAGGTAAGTTTTTTAATGCATATTATATAAGTGATCAATATCTTTTAAAACTCCTAAATTAAATGTTTTTGGTTTAATAAAAAAATGATTTTTATTTCTTATCGTGATACAAACGAACAGATGGGCTTCTATCTTTTAATTTGTTTCACTATATATTATGACAGGTTATATGGCCCTATATAAACGTTTGTTTGGAAATGTTACCCAATCAGCTAGGTACGGGTTATTTTGCAAAGAATCGTTCATATACGGTCTTAAAACTGTCAAAAATTCTCAACAGCGAATTTAAAATGCAACACAGTTCATTTTTTTAATTACTGAAAGAAGTTGAGATTTCTGCAATACTATAACGTGCATTATTATTAGACATAATGTTACTATGGCTTTTGACGTGACTTAGTTTGTTATCATACACTCAAAGCGTTACATTTTGGGTTTCATTTTTTGAGTGCTTTAAAGACAAACACATTCCTGTTTCCTGTTTGCAGTTTTAAATGTTTGCATATGATAAATATCATATTATATTCTTGTAGATTTAATTATGAATTTATTGAAACTAAACTCATTCAATATATCCTTTCTTGAATATCTGCTTTGTAAATCACATGATTATGTTTCTTTTTTCAGATTGTTAGTTATGTCTTATGAGGAAATATCAAAACAAAAGGTTCATGATAACACAAACTATTTTATGCGTTTGTTTCCTTCCTCTTTCGTTTAAGCTCACCTGAGCTAGCTCAGGATTGAGCTTTTAGGATCGTTGAATGTCCGTCGTCCGTCCACACTTGTTCGTTAACACTCTAGCGGTCACATTTTTGCTTCAATCATCTTTAAACTTTGTCAGGATGCTTATCTAGGTAAAAGCTCGGATAAGTTAGAACATTGGTCATCTCGGATGAAAAACAAGGTCACAGGAGCTAAAAATAGAAATATTATGTTACCACTCTAGCAGTCACATTTTTGCCTCAATCACCATCAAACTTTGTCAGGATGCTTATCTAGGTAATTGCTCGGAGGATTTTGAACATGGGTTATCTCGGATAAAAAATTAGGTCACAGGAGCTAAAAATAGAAAAAAAACTTCTTAACAGTCTACTAGTCACATTGTTGACTCAATAGTCATCAAACTTGATCAGGATGCTCGTCTAGGTAATTGCTCGGATGAGTTAGAACATGGGTCATCTCGAATGAAAAACTAGGTCACAGGAGCTTAAAATACAAAAACCTTGTTAAAGGGATACTTAGGCAAATTTATGACAAAATATCAAAATTATCCTATATACTCGAATCACGCTAAAATGACATTTGTAAAAGTCCCAGCATAAATTTCTGTAAAACTTCTATATATTTTTGGTTTGAAGCGTAAATATACTAGTATCTATATATGTTGATCGAAATTTAGACGCCGATAGAATCACCGAGTAGTTGTATAACTAGTAATGTGACTTGAACAAACCCTGGAAGTTACAATTACATATATTGTGGATATAGTATGATTGAAACAAACCTAAATCATTCATTTGACATGTTCTTTAACGTTTCCAGATATCACTGTGACAACTATTGTGAAATCTTAACACACTAACCTGACCCACGTGGGTCAGGTTAGGAAACAAACATTTTATTCTTTATAAGGAGAAACATTTTGTTCCTGTGACTGCCTGGTGTATTCATTTTGAGGGCCTTTACAGATAAATTAATGAAAAATTCAAAACAAAGAAATGACAATTTTGCCTGTGTATCCCTTTAACACTCTAATGGCTACTGTTTTCATTCAATTATCCTTGAAATTGGTCTGAAAGTTTGTTTTGATGATTTCTAGGACAAGTTGGAATATTGGTCACCTGGAATTAAAAACTAGGTCACACCGCCTTAATATGTAAAACCTTGTTAACAATCTAGTGGTCACACTTTTAACTCAAATATCATCAAACTTGGTTGACCAGGATGCTTGCTCAGATGAGTTCGAATATGGGTCATCTTGGGTGAAAACCTAGGTCAGAGGAGCTAAATATAGAAATATCATGTTAACATTCTATTGGCTACTGTTTTGATCCAAGTATCCTGGAAATTGGTCTGAATGTTTGTTTTGATCATTTCAAGGTCAAGTTCGAACATGGGTCATCTCGGATGAAAAACAAGGTCACACCGCCAAATATGGAAAAACCTTGTTAACACTCTAGTCGTCACATTTTTGACTCAATTATCATCAAACTTGTTCAGGATGCTTGTTCAGTTAATTGCTCGGATGAGTTCGCATATGGGTCATCTCGAATGAAAAACTAGGTCACAGGAGCTAAAAAAGAAAAATCTAGTTAACACTCTAGTGGCTACTGTTTTGATCCAACTATCCTGGAAATTGGTCTGACAGTTTGTTTTGATGATTTCTAGGTGAAGATTGGAAAATAGATCACCTTGGTTGAAAAACTAGGTCACACTGCTCATATATGGATTATCCTTGTTAACACACTAGTGGTCACATTTTTGACTCACCTGTCATAAAACTTGGGCAGAATGCTTGTCTAGGTAATTGTTCGGATGAGTTCGATGGGTCAGGTGAGCGATCTAGGGCCATCTTGGCCCTCTTGTTTAAAGACAATATGATATAAAAATGGTTTTACATATTATTGTGTCGCCGATACTGAGTAGCGTCGACATATAGGAATCACTTCACTGGCATATGAATGTCTGTCGCACAACAGTTGTCCATACTATTCCTCAAAAACCACTTTGGCAATATCATGCAAACTTTACAAGAATGGCCAATGCTAACTCTAGTTGTGCATATCAATGGAATTTACTGGTTCATAATTTTTTTATATTGCCCTTAAATGATTTCTATTTCTTATTTCTAAAGTTAAATCGGAATACACTCTTACATTTCTAATTCAATTTTTTTTACACATAGGATTGATCCGAACCTCAAGAACTTTTGATTATTCATCAGTGTTTTTTAAAGATTTTGCCCTTAAATAAAAAATGGCTTTTTACCATTTAAAATTTCAGACGACACATGTAATGACTGTCCGCTCTTGTTTCCAGCTTTCAATGGCATGTGTCATATGTTGATAGTGAAACTGTTACCAAATGTACAATCTTTAATGAGATACTCTTATTTTTTTAATATGTACAGTTGTGTTTTAGATCGCTGATCTTGAATTAGAGAATGCTGCCATAATAGATAGTCATAAAGATTTTATTTGGAGAAGTAAACAGGAAAGCCGTGCCTTAAGAGAAGAGTTATATCGTATAGAGAGACAACAGATTGTTGACAGAGAACAGTGTGAAAACGATATAAGAAGGATGAATAACACCAAGCACGGACATGCTGTTTATAGACTATACACTCACCACACAAAGGTTTGTTATTGACGTTTGATTCGACCAAATTTAGTTTGAAAGCAATTTCGTCTATTCGCTGGTTGTTTTGATGATGCATTATAAAAATTAAAAATTTGTTTTATTTATCCAAGATGTTTCAGTACAACACGTCTTTTTTGAATATTACTATTTTCACAAAATAATTTTCAAATGATTTTTATAAGTACATATATATAACTGTTGCAAACAAATATTTTTCGGATTAATGACTTTTTGCTGAATTAAAAAGCTTTTGAATAAAAAGATGTTTTGGGCAAGATAACAAATTTTGGGGAAATTCATACTTTCACCACATTTCGGAAGACGCTCAAATAGCATACAGTCAATTTAACATTTCCAACAAACTGTTAAATCACGCCTAAATACAATTGTTAAATTATTTTTCATCAGGCGTTAAATGTGATCACTGATCGCTCTGGTTCCCAATTTTAAAAGAATTTTGTAAAAAGCTATAGGTCTGAGTAAGGCTATAACAGGTAATCAATGGCATGTTATCTGTGTTGATAGTGAAACTGTTATGTAATGTAAGAGTCTCTAATGGGTTGCTCTTTTTTGTGTCGCCTTGGAAATGCGACATATAGGGGTTACTTTTGTCGGCGGCGTCGGCGGTGTCGGCGTCGTTGTCGGTGTCCCCTAAAGCTTGTCCGGAGCATAACTCAGTCACTATAAGTCTGGTTGACTTCAAACTTGGTATGCTTGCTTCTTTCAATAACCCGAAGTGCAGTGCACAAGGACCGGTACTTCTTAATTCTGCAGTTCTTAATTTTTGAGTTATTGCCCTTTGTTAATTTTCATACTTTAATTTTGTCCGGGCCATTTCTCTTCAACTAAAAAAGCTATGGACTTGAAACTTCATAGGATGATAAATCTCATTAAGAAGAAGTGCAGTGCACAAGAATCGGTACTCTGCATTCCTTATTTTTTGAGTTATTGCCCTTTGTTAATTTTCATACTTTATTTTCGTCCGGGCCATTTCCCCTAATGTATAAAAGCCATGGACTTGAAACTTCATAGGATGATATATCTCATTAAGAAGAAGTGCAGTGCACAAGAACAGGTACTCTGCATTTCTTATTTTTTGAGTTATTGCCCTTTGTTAATTTTCATACTTTAATTTTGTCCGGGCCATTTCTCCTTAAGTATAAAAGCTATGGACTTGAAACTTCATAGGATGATAGATCTCATTAAGAAAAAGTGCAGTGTACAAGAATCGGTACTCTGTATTTCTTAATTTTTGAGTTATTGCCCTTTGTTAATTTTCATACTTAATTTGTGTCCGGGCCATTTCTCCGAAAATATAAAAGCTATGGACTTGAAACTTCATAGGATGATAAATCTCATTAAGAAAAAGTGCAGTGCATAAAAACTGATACTCTGCATTTCTTATTTTTGGAGTTATTGCCCTTTGTTGATTTTCTTACTTTATTTTTGTCCTGGTCATTTCTCCTCAAGTATGAAAGCTATGGACATGAATCTTCATAGGAAGATAGATCTCATCAAGAAAAAGTGCAGTGTACAAGAACCGGTTCTCTGCACTTTCTTATTTGTGAGTAATTACCTTTTATTAATTTTCATACTTTATTTTTGTCCAGGCTATTTCTCATAAATTATAAAAGATATGGACTTTTTGAA